TATATTATTATATATACTATATATAATAATAATAATAATAATAATAATAATAATAATAATAATAATAATAATATATAATATAATATAATATATAATATATAGTAAATATAATAAAATATATAAATAATTATAATATATATAATTATAACATATATAAATTTATAATATAAATTAATTATTATATTACAATTAATATAAAATTAATATATATTATAATAATAATATAATATTAATATATATATAAAACTTTAATACAAAACATTTTTTCTTACAAATTAAATTTAATTCCAATTGGATGAATTCCAATTTCATGTTACATTTCTAAATTTATACTTTTAACATCTAACGAATTGTCCATAGTAATTTGTTGAAGGTAAACAATTAATTTGATGAAAAATAACTGTGCTACAATTTTTCTTCGTTTTAAAGAATGAAAAAAAAAATAAATCTCTCTACAAGAATATTGGTGGTAGTGGTAGTGGTGGTGGGAAGAGGTTTAATGGAGGAACAGGGGAATGTAACTAGCTGTCACCATCCTTACAGAAGTTTTACTACCTGGTGGTAGTAGTCTTGTTACGTAATACCACCACGTTAGAACGTAATCTAATCGGACTAATGCAAGTCGAAAGCGAATAGAAGAAGAGATGCCGATAACTGGATTGCTGCAATGCGGCATATCTCCACTACTCTCGTTCGGTCATTAGTTATTTTCTTAATCAGGCATCGTTAATCAAAGTATAAATCCCTTTTGATAGATATCCCACTTCCTTCTAGGATTTGTCCCTTTTTCCTCCCATTTTATTTTTATATTTTTTGTCTTCCTCTTCCTCCTATATAAATTCTATTAAAATTCTAATCTTTCAAACGTCATTTATTACAATTCGTTTATAACACTGTTTTTTTTTTTTTTTTTTTTAATTTACTTGTAAAATTAAATTTGATATTTGTAATGAAACAATTACAAATTGAATAATTTCCAATTAAATAAATAATTAAGTGTTGATTTTTATAGATAAAGAAGAAAAAACAAATTAGATTACTAAGACCTTATTAAGGTTTATTATTAAAACAAAATTGATGAATATTGTGAAGATGAGGAGAGAAAAAGAAAAAAAAAAAAAAATAAGGAAACGATAAATYTCGTTCGTGAACGTTTGTGGTTTAACCAAAAAAACAAAAAACAAAAAATAAAATAAAATAAAAAAAACCAACAACATGGGGGTTGAAGAAAACTATCTCACTCATCGTCAGTGAACTTTCAACAAAATCCCAGGTGAATTTTTCCAACGTTCCCCTATACATCACCATCTTTGTTCCGTCACGTTAAAGCAAGATAAAGATAAAGATAAAAAGAAAAGGAAGAAAGAAAGAGAGAGAGAGAGAGAGAGAGAGAGAGAGAGAAAACATTTAGAGCCTTTAAGTGGCTGTGAAAGACAGAGACGAATAGCACGTTTAATATTAGAACAAAGAGAAAGAGAAAGATAAAGATACACTCATTGGCTTAACGTGGATTTTATTTCAGATGTTACTCATAAATAATACCTTCTTAGATGATTTACTTTACTTTTCTATCCTTTTTTCTTTTTTTACTAACAACCCATCATCAACATCATCAATTATATTATATTATATTAAATATTATTATATAAATAGTATATTTATACTATATTACTAATAGTATACTATATATACTAAATATATTATAATACCAATATATTTTAATATATT